GTGAAGCATAAATCTTTAATAATACAGAAAGGATATTGGTAAGGTCCACAGGCATTGCTGTATCCAGTGCTCTCAGCCATTTTTCGATATCATGTGGATGAAATTAAATTATGGATGAAATTGAATTGGTGGATGACTGATTTCTGTTATAGTGTGGAAGTCAGGAGGAGAATGATTGGCTCAGTAATTCTGTTTGCAGGTGGTCACAAGCACTTCACCTTGTCTTTTGCTATCTCACACTGGGCTCCATCATTATTGCAATGGGAATGTTTACTTCACTGGTATTTCTATCTTGATATATTTGGTAATGCTCTTGCTGTACTCTTTTACATTTCTCATTGAATCAGGTTCAGTTCCCTGGCATGATGATAATAATTGAGTGAGGGGTAAGTAGGCCATCTGTTCTCAAACGGTAATGGTATAAAATTTTACTCCAAGCATGCCAAGCTTTAAACATAGGAACATAGCGTACAATTTCCATCTCCCTGGGGGTGGTATGACAGTTGTCGAGAAGAGGAAATATTCAGATGAGTTGGACTTGAAGACACACTCTTCTCACCACCCCACCAATGAAGTGGTTGCTGAGATTGTCCATGGGGAGCTTTCTCAGCTTGGTAGGAGTTAAGGCACTTACCTGGTAAATTAATCACTGTATAAAGGCTTCAATTCATCACTTCCCAGCTGGCAGATAAAGTGGTTGGTTTCCCAACTGGGTTGGGATCAGGAGGGAGAGGGGGGTCTGTATTTGCTGTGATATCTTTGTGAGCTCAACCCCACAAAGATCTCCTCAAGTTCGGCCTCGACCATTGGACTTTAGGACTCAGAAGTTGCCAGCCACTGTTTGTCCAGCAGCTTCTGGTGAGCTAGTCAAAGCCTGCAATAGACTAAATAGCTCACCACTCAGCTGCTCAAAGTCTGATTGATGAATAACATAGTGAGATTTCTTGGTAGTGGGAGTAGGAAGTTTGTCAACTCCTAACATGCTTGTCTGCAAACATAGTCTGAAAAATCATACCTCCAGCAACAGGAGTAGGCCATTTCACTCCATTAGCCTATTGCTCCATTCCATGAGATCATGGATGGTCTAGGAACTAACTCCAGATACCAGCCTTTGTCTCATTTCCCTTAATATAATTGGGTAAAAAAAAAAACCCGATCTGAGTTTTGAAGTTAACAACTGATGTGGCATTAATTACTATTTGCAGAAAGAGCCTCAAACTACTCTCAACCTTCTTATGAAGTGTCTCCTAACTTTATCCCTAACAGATCTTGCTTCTTACACCTTATTTCTCCAACTAGAGGAAATAGTTTCACTTTATCCATCCAACTCTTCCTCTTAAAATCTTGAAAGAGGTTGCTGAAATCATCCCATATCTTTTAAATTCCAAGGATTTCAACTCACATTTGATTAATCTCTTCTCATACCTTCACATTTGGAATGCAGGTACTAATCTAGTAAAACCACATTGCTCAGAACTGATCTGAGGAAGGGTCACTAGTCCTGAAACATTAAATCTGATTTTTTCTTCACAGATGCTGCCAGAACTGCTGAGCAGTTTTTGTTCCTGGTTTACATCATCCGCAATTCTTTCAGTTTTTATATTTTCTAAGATGTGGTGCTCAGAACTGCTCAAAGACCTCCCCTTGCAATTCATCAAGGGTGTTGTGTCGCTAAAGCTATTCTTTTATCGGATGCAGACACCATCACTGGCATCATTTATTGCTTTTCCCTAATTGGGACTTGAACTGATTAGTTTGCTAGGACATGTTCAGAGGGCAGGCGACAGTCACCTACATAGCTATCGGTCTGGTGCCACATGTAGTCCAAACTAGTTAAGGACAACAGATTTCTTTCCCTATACAGCATTAGTAAACAAGGTGGATTTTCACAACAATTGACATTGGTCACCTCTGGGTGAATTGTTAATTTTAGATTTTTCCATTGATTCAAATTTCACTTTCTGAACTGGTGGGATAACGAACCAGGAGCTTTAGCCTGGGCCTTTGTATTACCAATTCATTGAGAATACCACTCCATTATTGCCTCTCCCTTATATTCTATTCCTGCAGGTATAACGTCCCGCATTTGATTAGCCTGCTTAATTCTCAGAGAGGAAAACCAGTAAAAATCTAGCAATATATATTACTAAATGTACAGAATATACAGGATTTCCACTTTGAAGTATACAAGACAATTATTTGTCTCATTCACTATTTTTAATAGTTTTCCTTCTGGGTTATTTTCTGCCCTTATTCATGGCAGTATTCAATTGTTCAGTATTTGATTGCGTGTACCCATTAACTGTTCTCTTAACTCCATTAGTCAAATCTGGGTGCGGTGACAGAGGAACAGAAATTAAACTGAAAGCAAGAAACTGTGTGCATCAGAAGAGACATTTTAAAAGCATTGTAAATAAAGCTTCTATTTATACATGGAAACTTATGCCATGTCTGCATATCTCTGAGGCATTAAACACAACAACTTTAGTACATAAATTCTTTTGCTGGATTATGTTCTGAATCCAGCCTATTTAACTCAGTTATAATGCCACACAACATGATGGCTGCATCACACATGATATTAACATTATTGAAGGTTGTACATTGGGACTTTAAAGCCTATCTATGGGTAGAAACTAAATGTTTGAAATAGCTGAGTTTGTTGAACAGTGACAGGGAAGTTTGAAATTGTAAATTGTTAATATTCATTCTCAACCATCCTTAACTATCCTGTGTGCATCATGGCATCACAGTAGTACTGCCGCCTACATATCTTTCAGGGATTGCATCTAAAACATAAAGAAGCTTCAACATTCACAGCACACACACCATGATGTCATGACCTTTAATTACATCTCAAAGAATGTACATGCATTTGATGGCTTTTCACCAAAAGTTTGCATGAGACAAAGACGCAACCAAAACAGATGGCTTTTTGTGTTGAGCCCCCCTTTTGCGTTCAGTTCTGCTTCCTTGCCCCCAGTCAGGATTTCTGGTGTCAGCCAGCCTTGCTCAGACAGGCTTGTTAACCTGGTCAGGCTTTATGTTCAAACATGGTAAATGTTTCACAACACCAGCCCAGACTCCATATGACTGGGATATCTCATGAGCTGACAAACGTGGAGAGGCTTCATGCCTGACGCTGTAAATGTTGGCATAACGTAACATCTCGTTAAAAGGGAACTAAGTAACTGAAAAAGCTGTACTCACTGGAGCTTGGAGGAAGAAATCTATCCCATCAAGTACATGCTTCATAAATGCACTTGTGTTTGTGAACAGGTTTACATCTGTGAATATAATTGCAGTAGGTTGAAGTGTTGATGAAAATTTATGAAATGCTAATGAGTCCAAAAATAGGTTCTGAAACATGAAGGTCAGGAAAGCTTGCCCACCTGGTCTTCTGGATTACTCTCCTTGGAGAGAAAAGGGCAAAAAGAAGATTTGATAGAAGTTTTCAAAAGTTTGAAGGGTTTACATCTGTAGAGAGTGAATAGGGAGGAACTATTCTCACTTGTAAATGGATTGAGAACCAAAGGGCACAAGCGTTTAGCAAAAGAAGCCAAAGTAAAGTGAAAACATTTTTCATACAGTCAGTAATTAGAGTCTGGAATGCAAGTCCTGAACATGTGGTCGAGGCAGGTTCAATTGAGGTGTTCAATAGGAGATAGGATAATTACATAAGTAAAAACAATATGCAGGATTAAGGGTAAAAGGTAAGAGATTGACACTAAGTTAAAATTCTCAGAGAACCTGTGCAGACAGATTGGACTAAATGGTCCCCTTCTGCACCCAACACTTCTATAACCTGAAAAGGTCTGAAAACTTTAGCAAAACTTTAATCCACTGTTGGAAAACTGAGTTCTTGCCTCTTTCCCAGTTAAGTTGCCCCTTACCCCACACTTGTCTTAGCTTCACACACATACCAAACGGCCACCCACAGAAACAGAGTAAAAAGAGACATAGTATTGGTGGAAGAGAGGAGAGGAGTGCAAGACAATGTATTAGGCTAGAGGAAATAATAGCTCATGGGCTACTAATAAAGATAGCCAGAATTATGCACATACATGAACTATGTTCGCATGAATGTTTCTTGTAGATCGCTGCCAGCAGCACCATGGAGATCTAGTGCTGATCCCTGGAAACTCCCAGGGAGTTTGCAACCCTCAGATTGAAGCACACCTAAACATCTTGTTTTGAGCTATTGGAACCACTATACATGGAAGTAACTTGTTGATTTACAAAGTTGGCTCGGCTAAACATTGGCCAACAAATACATTTGGACAACTGGAGGAAAATGATGGACTTTGTTCGTCCTTAAAGATTCACTTTAAATGACTGAACCTCTTTCACTGAGTGTCCATTATTCATTTTGCTGCCTGGCAATCACTGGTGGTCAATTAAAGATATCCTAACTATGGATACTGTGTACCATTTTGTTGCTTCACTGAAAATAGCACAGTTTTGGAGCATTTGTCAAAGCTGGATTCATTTTTTTTAAAAATGGGATCAAAAGATACCAGCATTAAAATATTTTAGACAATCGTATATCTTTCTTGGCAGGCTTCAACTAGCTGAGGGCAATGTAGGAGATGGAGGTTATAACGATGGAGTCCTGAAGTAAGATTTCCAAACCTCAAATTACTTTGTATCTTTAGAATAGCAGAAAATCTGTGAGAAAATCTTTGCTGGTCAATAAAAGTGATTCACTATTACATCTGTTTAAATTTATATATAAATTTAATATATGCAATATATTCAACAATTGTAACTGTATCTATTGAATTACACATAATCAAAGATTGTCCAATACATTTCTTTATGATTGGGTCTGATCAACAATGAATGTAACAGCTTTGACAAAATATGCCAGTAATCTGAGGAGGTTTCTGTTTGAAGTTAACCAAAACAACTCTATAATTGGTGGCAGTGGACTGTATATGAGAATTTTCAGGTTCATCATGCCAATTCTAAAATACAATAATCTCTTTATTGTTTACAAGATAATCGTGGGAGAAGTGGCTGTATTTTTCCTTCAATCAGTTACTAAGGAGTTTGGAAATCGTGAGAAGACCATAGTAACTGGAGATTGCTGCTACATCAATCCACTGGTGCGCAGAACAGTTAGGTTTCTTGGTAAGAATAATATTTAAAGTTCTATCTGAAAAAGCATGATATTTTACAAAAGTAATACTTTCTAATTTAAAAATACACAGTACATAAGTCCTTTAATTATTGTTTTTCTTTCTAGTTGTATTAAAAACACCCTTTAAAATATGCAAAGAAAACAATTTTTACTAAATAATGATGTAGAATGTTATAGTGAAAGATTACAAAATTATCGTACATGCCTTTGTTCAATTGTATTGCCTGAATTAACTGAAACTAGTAACATAACATTAAATATTGCTTTGGTTTCTGACATGGTTATGAAAGCTTTAATTCTCTTGAAAATGGCTACAATTTGAACAGGCTTCTGCCTTGCTATAACAGCTTGCTACCAGGAACAGACTGTAACTTTTGGATAGTGTACAGAATACAACAGAGAACTCTTTCACAATTAAATTGAAATTTGTTGAACTTTACAATTAACAGGTTGTGTACACTTGCTTGCATTTTATATGTGAACTGAAATAGGAAGAGAAATTGGCTGAAGAGACTTTATACTGAGGAAATGGTTTTTACTATTTCTCACTAAACAGCATTAGCGGGTGGTAATCTTAATGATGGCAATGGCTGCTGCTAACAGCTGATAACACAAGATACAGTTTATAAATATATCAAAGCCACATTCGTAGATTGGAACTAGACCAACTGCACAATGGAAGCTGTTCTCCTTTGAATACTTTGCTGTCATTGGTTCATATAGTATACTTTGGGTGGTCAAATCTATTGACTGCAGCTTGCCAAATGTCATTCTCTTTTGTTTACAGTCATTTTGTAACAAAAAAAAAGTATTAGCTACCACATTCAGACTGTGGAGTAAATCATTGTAGAATTATTTTGAGCCATTTGCCTGAAATTCGCACGTCCACAGTTGTGATTGTAATGAAGTCATCCAGGTGGACCTCAGAGAATACGAATTCCCTGATTGGGACTGCTAACCTGGTCCAATCAGGATGCCCTGGCTGACAGATATAGACAGGAATGTCAGAGGTTGTGCTCACTCTGAGAAAGCTGGACCAGTGTCATGTACAATGCACATGTAATTAAATGGTGACGGGATACTGGCCTCTGTAGAGTTATTTCATCCATCACTGAAGCAAAGGTATTAAACAACATATTTTGCTCAGTCTAACACTTAGGATAAAGCAGCAGAAAATGTTTCAGATAAAAGCATTAAGCATTCAAATACTCATTGCACTGTATAATTTCAAAGCCATTGTGTTTTTAAATAACACTAAGTACTGCCTGTATTTTTCAGTATTGTGAATCAGTTATGTGGGGAATGTGGTTGCAATAATTTTCTTTCTTTAAAAAGACGAAGTCAGCTGTCTTGCCCATTTGAATTTATCCCATGATGCAGAGATTATTTGAATTGATAATCTGCTACTTAAACTATTTTAAATAAACTTTATTTTACCTTTTTGTAGCATTCCTAGTCATCACAAAAGATAAGGAACTTGGCAAAATTTAAAAACCATTGTAATGAGAGACCATTCTGAATGGCTTGTCTTTTAAAAATGTTGGGTATTTCATATAATTTCTGTTTTGAAGCCTTTTAACACATTTTTGCTGACAATAACATCAGTGAAAGACTACTGCGTTTAATGTGAAATGGACGGAGCTGTTATTGGCAGTACCAAGTATTTTTCCATCATTATTGCCAAATGTATTTCAAGCCCACATTGCTCTTTCAACCTTGTCAAAAATGTCATTTTATCCTTTAAAAAAATTCATAGGCAACCATCAAAAAAATAAAGTACATTGAAATATAGTAGAAGGATCATGTTGCTAGGCAGAGGAATAACGTCAATGTCTAAGAGGACAATGACAACCCTAACCATACAGATTCTGTCTTCTGACTTGATCTCGCTTCTCGCTATCAATTTAATTTCACTTCTTGCTAAGAGAACAAAACTGACCCCTCTGCCCATCTGCCTGTCCTTTTGATAGGATGTGTATCCTTGGATATTTAGTTTCCAACCCTGATCCCCTTGCAACTGTATCTCTACGATATCGTAGATATCACATCTGCCAATTTCAATCTGTACTACAAGGTTATTTGCCTTGCTTTACATACTGCATGAATTTAAGTACACGTGAGAGAGCTCTGCTAGAAGGTTGAAACCAGACCAGCTTAGGGCAGAGGTCCATGCTGGAAGATCCTTATGCATATAATGTAACTGAATACATCTTGCAAAGACACATTGAGATCTGTACTGAAATTCTCTGACTAGCAAACCATTCACAGAGTTGTTGAACATGGTGTAGCCCATTCTGTCCAAACATGCTGATAAGTCAAGAAAATTGAATTGTTTATCAGTATCAGTGACATGGGATGCCATCAGTAACTTGGATAGGTGCCAATTTATTACAGTGGCTGGAGTGGAAACCTACTTGGTGGGGTTTACAATCTGGGAAAGAGGGGTATGGATCTGGGAATTTCCCACATGTTCAAGCACTTGAGAGAAGATAGAGATATTGGAGATGGGGTTTTAGTTGTAGAGGGGTTGAGAGCTTGGTTATTTGAGAAGTGGACTTTACTCTTTGCATATCTACAATATATGTTTATCATTGTGCTATTGAACTTTGCAGGCTGTTCTCATTGTTAGTGTCATAACTGAATCTTTTTTACCATGGATGGCTAAATAAAGTTAGAATAGCTTTCTAGTGTTATAGCTCAGTGGCTAGCACTGCTGCCTCACAGCACAAAGGACCCAGGTTCAATTCCACCCTTGGGTGACTGTGTAGAGTTTGCACATTTTCCCCATGTATGCCTGGGTTTCCTCCAGGTGCTCTGGTTTCCTCCCACAGTCCAAAGATGTGCAGGGTAGGTGGATTGGCCATGCTAAATTGCCCATAGTGTTCAGGGATGTGTAGATTAGGTGGGTTATAGGGATGGGTCTGGGTGGGATGCTCTGAGGTCCGGTGTGGACTTGTTGGGCTGAAGGGCCTATTTCCATACTGTAGGCATAGTGGAAGTATACAACTCCCTTTCATTTATTGTATAGATCACAATAGTATGCTGTCATAAATTACAGATAACGAGAAATTTCTGAAACCCAAAAAAACTCTACCACCAGCTCTATTTTGTTTTTAATCTAGGACACTCAAATATAGCCAGTGAATGCATTCACACATATCTCCATAAAGCATCTGTGACCAGCCTTGAAGAAAATAGGTTTTCATCTAATGGCTTATTATCCTCCAGAAAGCTAGGGGCTGATATTATTACAACACAAGCAGGTGCTGGTGGTAGGAGAGACAGGGATGCTGAGGTGCATTGATGCTTTTATCCACTTATTAGCCACCCTGATGTGACTGACTGCAATTTAAATTGCACGGATACCTGCCCAAGCTGGCATACTTCATTTTAAATAGCAAGTTCTCATTCTGATAATGTACTTTGATCTTGATTTGCCACTTAATCTGAAGTACAAGTAAGATAGTGCTGATAGCTTGTCCAAGAGGTCAAAACCTGCTGGGAAAAGCTGTCTGCATTGAAGGAGAGATCCTCAAAGACCCATAAAGAAATTCTGAACATCTCCCACCCTGGATCCCTTTGGTGGATCGCAAGACAGTCTCCAGGTATTCAAATTTATTGACTGGTCATTCATTTTGATCCATTCTAATGAAGTCAAATTATTAGGCTCTATCTTCCACTGCCTAAATAGGCAGGACAGTCACTGTGCTGAGCTCCCATTTGACAGTTAAAATTAAGTCCATTATTTTAGGAACTAAAACATTTTTGAAAAGCATCATTTCAGCAACATATTCATTACTTGGAAATCTACATTTAAAAGATAGTAAGCACAACTCTCAAACTGTTGACCATCTTTTTTGTGCCTGTTCACGCACAGATGATTAATCTATTCTGACCACATTCACTCAATTCCTAAATGGTTGAATTGATTCTGAAACCCTGAAGGCCTACTTTCTAACTGATAAAATTAGTTACTATTGACAATCCCAATCCACTAACAAAGCTGTGACTTCTGACAAATGTAGGAGAATTGCCTCTCTGTTTATTATCCATTGCCCATTAGAGGATGTGATGGCCTAGTGGTATAATTGCTGGACTGTTAATCCAGAGACCCAGATAATGTTCTAGGCACCCGGGTTTGAATCCGCCACGGCAGATGTTGTAATTTGAATCCAATAAATATCTAATGATGACTATGAATCCATTGTCGATTGTTGGGAAAAACCCATCTGGTTCACTAATGCCCTTTAGGGAGGGAAACTGCCATCCTTACCTGGTCTGGCCTACATGTGATTCCAGACCCACAGCAACATGGTTTGCTCATAACTGCCCTCTGGGTAATTAGGGATGGACAATAAATGCTGCCTAGCCAGCGACGCCCTCATCCCGTGAATGAATAAAGAAAAAAAATCTACAGTGTACATGGGTGAGACACATCTCTGACTACTTATGTCTCTTCTGTAGATGAAACAAAAACTTGATTGTTTAATAATTTTTCTACTCTGAATAAAACTTAAGTATTGGAAGTTGTTTTTTTTTGTGTGGGTTATTCATCTAGAAGACTCTTAGAAGCTACTTGAAAAAAAAATGTCTAAACATTTCATGCCTAATGGTGTGACAGCTGTAATAATGGGCTTGTTCGAATGCCATCAACCTTTTGAGTGCAGAATGTCCTTTTTCAGCTTTTTAAAATGCATACTTGTCTTCAGAGTCATTTCACTTTGAGACAATATAACCAAAGTGAAAAAAGAAGTGAGATTTGATTGACAATATCTGAGGCCCACTCACTACTTTTCACTCTACATTCATCATTATCCCCATAGCCATATTTTTCTTTGCGCTGCTGCCATTTAATTCAGAAGCTAGAGGTTGTAGCAAGTCTGACATTACTGATAATGTCATTCTATGTAATAGAAAAGGGGCACACTTACTCGTGGATTGCTCTGCTTTCAAAGGATACTTACTATAACTTTGATTGTTGAATCAACCC